CTGGCCGCGAAGGTCGTGGTTTGCCGACCTTCTGCAGTCGCCAGTGCCTTCCCCCTGGAGACTTCCCTGCCCGTGGATTGCCTATCTCAAGGGGCGATACTGCTGCCGGATCCCCAGTGGTTGCAACTGACCGTTTGGAGATTGAGTGGGACGCGCTGCTGCGTGACAATCTCCCGGCCACGGTCATAAAGACCATTCAGGTGTCTAGGTAAATACGGACCGTATTTACTCAGCCACTTGGCGGGCATTTTCTACTTGGTGTAACCTGCACGGCGTTTCTCCCATCCGGGCCTCCATAGTTCAAGTTCTCATGTTTTTGCAGGACGGCTTAGACAAGGGTCTCTCTCCCAATACTCTCCGACGACAGGTGGCGGCTCTCACTTCAGTCCTAACCTACAGCTCCCTTCCTTCATTGTCACAGGAGCCTTTGATTCGTCGCTTCCTCAGAGGAGCCTCTAATTTATGCCTGCTGGTGTTACATAGGTACCCTACTTGGGACCTTTCTATTGTTTTGACTTCTCTCACAGGTGCACCGTACGAGCCATTGAAATCTACCAGCCTGCGGCTTCTGTCTTGCAAAGTGGCCTTCCTAGTGGCGATTATGACAGCTAGGACGATTTCGGAAATTGCAGCGTTATCGATGAGTATCGACTTATGTGTCTTCCATGCAGATTGTGTGGTCCTAAGGCTAGATCCTACTTTTGTTCCTAAAACTAACTCTGTGTTTCACCACATAGGAACTTATTCTTCCAGACTTTTGCCCTCACCCAACCACTCTGTCAGGCAAGAAGTGGCACAAGTTGGATGTCCGGAGGGCTCTCCGGATATACCTCAACAGAATGGCAGCGATCCGGCATTCGGAGTCCTTGTTTGTCTCCTTCCTTCCTGTTTCCTTAGGTTCTAAGGTATCCTCATCTACCATCAGTCGCTGGATTCGCCAGACGATTGCTACTGCCTACGAGCTTCGCTCTTCTCCTTTACTGGCAAGGTTGATGGCGCATTCAACATGCAGCGCAGCAACATCCGTGGCCTGGGCCATGCAAGCGTCATGAGTGGACATTTGCAGAGCGGCAACCTGGACTTCTCCTTCTCCTTTTGTTAAGCGTTATAAGTTGGACAGGTTTGCCCCACAGGAGGCAGCCTTTGAACGTAATGTGTTACAAAGGGTTATTGCGGGAGGAGAGTCATTGGCCCAGACTGAGCCCTCCCTTGCCTAACACTGTGAACTTGGGTATGTCCCAAGCATGGCTGCTGTCTCCACTCTCAATGGAGAAGGGGCGTTGGTCCTACCTGACACGCTCCTTCTCATTGGGTGGAGACAGCAGCCATCCCCACCCGTTTTCAATCTGGGTCTTTGGGGTATTGTTTTTTTCTCTTTCTGGTACTCTTCACAAATGTCTCTGCCACACGACGAGCCTGTTTCCTTCCGTCTTCACCAAAAGCTGGGATCCCTGGCAACAGAGGCGGGACTTGTCAAATTTTACAGGCTCAGTCCTCCAATCTGATCGTACGAGTCACTACCCAAGCATGGCTGCTGTCTCCACCCAATGAGAAGGAGCGTGTCAGGTAGGACCAACGCCCCATTCATTTCTCCCTATGTGAATCGATCCCATTCAACAAGAAATAGAAATTATCCAATACTTCAGACCAGGGGTGAAATCTAACTTTTTTTGCTACCGGTTCTGTGGGCATGGTTTAATTAGTGGGCGGGGCTTGGTGATAAGGTGACTGGGTGGGCGTGGCCAAGTCAATGTCACTTTTTTGCCCTTTTTTAACCTACAAAACACAACACAACACAACTGGCTCACCCACAATGTAAAAGCAGCTGTGCTGGACCCAAAATGGCCCCTGCAACAAGCAGGAACCTCACACAGCCACAAAAAGCCCCCCCAAAAAACTTTCACACTTTACACACACAAAATTCCACATACAGCTTTGTGAGATTTTGTGTGTTTGTGTAGTTAGAGTGAAACACTACAGAAACACACAAAATCTTAGAAAGCTGCACAAATATTATTTTATTTTAATTTATTTTTATATAAAAGCAGCTAAATTTAAAACTTCCTAAACTTTAAATGGCTAGGTCTAAAAAAAGAACAACTAAAAAAAACCCCAATTAACTATTTTTTTAAAGCTCCCAAAGGGGAAAAAACTTACCCAATAGAACAGGGGTCTCCAACCTTGGCAACTTTAAGACTTGTGGTCTTCAACTCCCAGAATTCCTCACCCAGCTTTGCTGGGAGTTGAAGTCCACAAGTTGTAAAGTTGCCAAGGTTGGAGACCCCTGCAATAGAAGGTACAAGTCAGGTAGGAAGGCAGGGAGGCAGATAAAGCTGCTCACCGATGAGCTTGATTGCAGGCATGGAGATTCAGTTGCTTGCTAATTCAATGGATTGCAGGTATTACAGCAAGCGAAGCAAGGCAGGCGTTGCAACCAGCAGCTAAGGTAAGCAAGCTGGAGGCTGGGGGGGGTGGGGGGGAGGGATTTTTGCTACCGGTTAGCAGGCAACTCAACTGGGATCATCAGAGCTTGGATCATCAGAACCATTTAAAAGAAAAAACTTTTTTTCTTTTAAATGGCTCTGACGATCCAAACTGAGTTGCCTGATTAGCAGGCAACTCAGCTGGGATCGTGAGAGCTTGGCTCGTGAGAGCCATTTAAAAGAAAAAAAAAGGCTCTGATGATCACGCGGCTCAGCTGGGCATGGGGGGCGGGGGCAGGGATTTTTGCTACCAGTTCTCCGAACTGCTCGCCCCCATCACTACCTACTCGCCCGAGCCGGTCCGAACTGGGAGCATTTCACTCCTGCTTCAGACACACCTAATACATGAATATATCTTCTTCAATACAGATGCATTTCAAACATAACATATTCATAGGAAATCATCTATAAGTATTTCTCATCTATCTATTTACCAAGATTTGATTTTAAAGCTGCAAAATCCACTAGTGTTTTACATGCCAATAAACAAAACAACATTTATAGCTTTCTGTGTATAGTGTGATATTGATATTTGGACATTCCACATTTTAACCAGATATTGTTATTTTAGGTTATATTATGGATTTTAGATTCAATTTGAAAGATAAAACAATCTAGACACATTTTGATAAATGGAAATTGTTTAAATAAGGTATCACACTTTTATCTAGCTATATTATTAATCCTTGCTTAATCACTTTAAAGGTAAAGGTTCCCCTTGCACATATGTGCTAGTCATTCCCGACTCTAGGGGGTGATGCTCATCTCCTTTTCAAAGCCAAAGAGCCAGCGCTGTTCAAAGACATCTCCGTGGTCATGTGGCCGGCATGACTAAATGCCAAAGGCGCACGGAACACTGTTACCTTCCCACCAAAGGTGATCCCTATTTTTCTACTTGCATTTTTTACATGCTTTCGAACTGCTAGGTTGGCAGAAACTGGGACAAGTAATGGGAACTCACCCCTGTTACGGAGCACTAGGAATTTGAATCACTGAACTGCTGACCTTTCGATCGACAAGCTCAGCCACTGACCCACCGCGTCCCATAATCACTTTATATGAGAGCAAATGCCAATATAAGAATTATTATTTTTACAGCAGGCAACATGGCTTTCTAAAGTGGCAGACCTAAAGATTTTCTATTTGAAAAGGTTTAGATTCTGTTGCAAGGCCCATCAAATTATAAATTTCTTACATTTCATTCAGTTTTCCACATTGTCAAACAACCCAGAATATCTACATTGTCAAACAACCCATTGTCAAACAACCCAGAATAGTCGCATGGGCATACATACTGAAGCAAATAACAAATTATGTGAGTATATTTAAGATATAATTAAGATAATAGATGTTAATATATAATGTATAATATAAAATCTATAATATAAAATCTATACAATATCAAAATTAATATCAACACAGGCATGAATAAGCTTAATGGAAAAAAAATAGATCTGAATAGCCAGCTTTTCAACATGTATGTGTCGAGTGGGTGGGGTGTGGGGGGAGAGCTAACATAAATCTATTTAAAAACAGGTTCATGGCAGTTTAGTTTCCTGGAAATAAAAATGCAACTGGCTAATGCAACTGCCTAACATGCAGGCAGCCCAAGTTTGAATCCAAGTAAGGGTATGGCTAGCTGATGAGAGCTAAATAGTTTGAAATAGATCTATACTAGTCTCCCTTTATTTCTTTATCAGTGAAACAACTATACATATTTTGTGGACAGTGTATTGACTGGATCAATATACTTTTTAAACAATGCTAACAATAATAATACAATTCCAACTTCTAACCTTTACATGCACATTGTAATTATAGTAGATTCCTTTATATATCAGTGTGTATAATACTATTTTCCCAATTTGTACTAATCTTCCCCTCCCCCCATTTGTTGGGGTTCTTCTACATTCTCATCTTTGTCTTTAAACAATACCATTCTCTCTTTATGATTCTTTATCACTTTCTCCATAACTACATTTAAACATCAATAACATTTGTTCATACCATGTGTTTGTTGTCCCCTGCTTAATCACTAATATTTTAATATTTTAAAAATTATTCAATAGTCCACCATACTGTAATTCCAATATCTCGATTTTCTAGAAACACCAATAAAGCCAATTATTATTAAGATTTAAACAGTCCCAGGATTATATCTCTTTTTTTATATAAAATATTTTTATTAAACTTTTTCAATATTTAAAACACAAAACACAAATTTTCACTTATCACAGCTTTTCCGTATTGGTAACAATATCATCCATAACATACAAATTTACATAGATTCTATTTCTATGATTCAGTATCCTATATTATACAATTGTTTAAGTTATAGTAATAGCTACTCACATATAATCAAATTATCATCAATATTATATAATTTTTATAGTTCTTATACATTATACATTATATATATGATGTATATTATACATCTTATACATTAATTTTACTCCTGTTCTCAAGCCAGGTATACCATCTACTCCAAACTTGGTAGTACTCAGATTCTTTTCTCTCTTTCATTTCCATAGACAGCCTATCCACTTCTGTACGCTCATATACTTTTCTTATTATCATAGCCTCTGAAGGAATATTAGTCTGTTTCCAATTCTGCGCAAAGACGATTCTGGATGCCATTAATATATGTAATATTATGTATTGAAATTTTTTACCCATTTTCTCATCTAAAGTGCCCAATAAAAATAGTTCCGGCATCAATTTGATCTTTTGTTCAGTTATTTCTTCCAACATTTCCTTATCTTATGCCAATACTTCCTGGCTTTGGGACATATCCACCACATGTGGTAGAAGGTTCCCTGTTTATAACCACATTTCCAGCATTTCGGTGAACAGTTTGGAAACATTTTGGCCAATCTGGCTGGTGGTAAATACCAATGGTAGAACATTTTATAGAGGTTTTCCTTGTAGGAGGCTGACATTGTTAGTTTATCATTTTTCTTCCATAATTTATTCCAATGGTCTAATTCAATACTGTATCCAAAATTTCTGGCCCAATTTATCATCGTCTCCTTCACATTTTCTTCTTCCATTTTAAATCTTAGGAAAAAATTATGTTTTGGTAATCATTTTGTCCCCTGTCCCTAATAATATTTTATCAAGTTCTAATTGTTTTCCATAAATGCCATATTGTTCTAAGTCTTTTTTATATCTTGTTCTAATTTGGAAATAGGGCCACCAATCAATTTTTATTGCTTGATTCTTTAAGTCCTGATCAGATTTTAAGTCTCTTTGTTCATCTAATAATTCCGAATACCTCACCACCTTGTTTAAATCTAATATGTTTGGATAAACATACACATCAACCAGACCCACAATCAGGGCAAAGTGGAGGAATTTGCACAAGCACTCAAGGAAACTTTCCCAGGCCCGGCTGAAGCAAATGCAACTGAACGATGGGAATATTTCAAGAATGCTGTTTATAACACTGCCTTGTTGGTATATGGCAAGGAGACCAGAAAGACAGCAGATTGGTTTGAAGCCCATTTGGAGAAGCTGATGCCAGCCATTGAGGAAAAAAGGAGAGCTCTAATTGCATATAAAGCCTGTTCCAGTGAGTGCAACCTACAGTTTCTGCGAGCTGCTCGTAGCAAAAGCAACAGATCGCTAGGAGATGTGCTAATGACTATTGGCTGCTGCTTTGCTCACGGAACCAGGCTGACACAGGCAACATTAAGGGGATGTATGATGGCATTAAGCAGGCCCTAGGTCCAACACAGAAGAAATCTGCCCTTCTGAAGTCTGCTACAGGTGAGGTTATCCAGGACCGAACCCAGCAGATGGCACACTGGGTGCAACATTACTCTGAGTTATACTCCAGAGAAAACATGGTAACTGAAGAAGCATTAAATAACATTGAGTGCCTGCCTGCCTGCCTATCCTGGAGGAGCTTGATAGTGAACCAACTTTAGAAGAACTAAATGTGGTCCTGGATTCCCTTGCCTCTGGCAAGGCACCCGGGAAAGATAACATCCCTGCCGAAGTTCTGCTGGGTTGCAAAGAGAACATCTCCATTGAATTGCATGAAATATTCTGTCTTTGTTGGAGGGAAGGTGGAGTACCACAGGACATGAAGGATGCAAATATTGTCACATTGTATAAGAACAAAGGCGATAGTGGTGATTGTAACAACTACCATGGTATCTCTTTTCTTAGTGTCGTAGGGAAACTGCTTGCCCAAGTCATACTGAAGTGGCTCCAGGTGCTTGCAGAGAGAGTCTATCCAGAATCACAGTGTGGATTTCGAGCCAACAGGTCCACTACTGACATGGTATTTTCCCTTAGACAGCTGCAGGAAAAATGCAGGGAACAAAGACAGCCACTTTCGTAGCCTTCATAGATCTTACAAAGGCTTTTGACTTGATTAGTAGGGATAGCCTTTATAAAATTCTCTCCAAGATTGGATGTCCACCTCAGCTCCTTAACATCATTAGGTCCTTTCACAGGAAATGAAAGGCACTGTGGTTTTTGATGGCTTAACATCAGATTCCTTTGACATTCGAAGTGGAGTGAAGCACTGCTGTGTCCTTGTACCAACTTTATTTGGGATCTTTTTTGCTGTCATGCTGAAACATGCTTTTGGAACTGCAACAGAGTGTATCTATCTCCAGACTAGATCAGATGGAAAACTCTTTAATCTTTCTAGATTGAGAGCAAAGTCCAGCTGAAATGCTTACGAGATTTCCTCTTCACTGATTATGCTGCCGTTACTGCTCACATTGCTGAAGACCTTCAATAATTTATGGACTATTTTAGCAAGGCCTGCCAAGACTTTGGACTAACAATCAGCCTGAAAAAGACACAAGTCATGGGTCAAGACGTGGATTTATCTCCCTGTATTACAATCCCTGCACAAGAACTGGAGGTCGTCCATGAATTTGTGTACCTCTGTTCAACCATATCCGATACTCTCTCTTTAGATACTGAGCTGAATAAACGTATTGGTAAAGTGGCCACCACATTCTCTGGACTTACAAAGAGAGTATGGCTTAATAAGAAGCTGGCAGAACATACAAAGATCCAGGTCTATAGAGCCTGTGTCCTGAGCACACTCTTGTACTACAGTGAATCTTGGACTCTTTACACATGGCGGGAGAGAAAGTTGAATACCTTTAATATGCGCTGTCTCTGATGTATTCTTGGCATTACCTGGCATGACAAAGTTCCAAATAGCACAGTCTTGGAATGTGCTGGAATTTCTAGCATGTATACACTATTGAAACAGCAATGTCTATGCTGGCTTGGGCATGTCGTGAGAATGGGTGATGGTCGGATTCCGAAAGATCTCCTGTATGGAGAATTAGTGCAGGGAAAGCGCCTTAGAGGGAGACCACAGCTACAATATAAGGATATTTACAAGAGGGATCTAAAGGCCTTGGGAATGGACATTAACAACTGGGAAACCTTGACCTTTAGCTTGGAGGCTAAAGACGCAGCATGGCCTTCTCCAATTCGAAGAGACACTTGTTTGGCAGGCTGAGGCAAAGAGGCAGTCCCGGAACCAGCAAAATCTGGGGGCTGAGCAGGGGACAGAATAGATCTGCCCTCAGTGTGGAAGGGATTGCCACTCTCGAATTGGCCTTTTTAGTCACACCAGGTTTTAGGACCTATTTCTAGAGCACAATACCATAGTTTTTTGAGACTGAAGGTTGCTAATGTAAGGATAAATCATCACTTCCACTGCTGATAACCAAATTTGAATTTTCATATAATGATTTTTCCTAATTTTTTCCCAAATGTTTATCAAAGTATCTCTCACTAAGTGTCTCTGAAAATATGCCTAGGTTTTGTTCTTCCCTTCCCAAAGAAATGCATGCCAGCCAAGTTGGAGATCATGGCCCTCTAATATTAATACCCTTTTATTGTTCAGTTGGATCCAATCTTTAAGCCACGTCATGGCTACCGCTTGATAGTATAATTCCCAGTCAGGGAGGCCAAAACCTCCTTTTGTTCTAGAATCTTGTAAAAGTTTGAGCTTTATTCAGGCTTTTTTCTCCAACCAAATAAATTTTGCTATTATTTTCCTTAATTGTTCAAAAAAAAAAATTCTCCAATTTTATTGGTGCTGTTTGGGAGAGGTAGAAAAATTTAGGTAGTATATTCATTTTTATTGTGGCGATTCTGCCAATTAAAGATATTTGTAATTTTGCCAAATTATCCAAATATTTTTGTATCTGTTGTACTAATTTATTGTCCTCTTTTATCAAGGAGCATTTCGCCGTTAACCAAATTCCAAGGTATTTCCAAGGTATTTCCAATAACCAAGGTATTTCACTTTTTTAACAATTTGGATCCCCAGTTTCTCCTCCAGTTCCTCCAGTTCCATTTTGCCTGTTAGTAAAATTCTTAGTTAATATTTTAGTTTTTTCTTTATTTATTTTAAGTCCTGCCACTTTGCCGAATTCTTCAATTTCCTGTAATAATATAGTTCCTGTCTCTAGGGCAGTGGTTCTCAACCTTCCTAATGCCGCGACCCATTAATACAGTTCCTCATGTTGTGGTGACCCCCAACCAGGGGTGGGTTCTAAATTTTTTACTATTGGTTCTGTGGGCGTGGTTTATTTTGTGGGTGTGGCTTATTTTGTGGGCATGGCTTAGAGGTCATGTGACTGGGTGGGCGTGGCTAGCTGGTCATGTGACCGGGTGGCCATGGCTATGTGTATAGGGACTACTTAGAAGGCTGAAAAAAGTCATTTCTGACAGATCCTCACACTTTTGACTGGTCCTCACACTTATGACCATCCTCACATTTATGCCTGTGCAGCATTCTTAACAGCCATGTCACTCATTTCACAACTGCTTCTCTTCAACATGGTGATAAAATAGGGGGAAAAACATAAAATGTGAGGACAGTCGTAAGTTTGAGGACTGGTCAAAAGTGCGAGGACCAGTCAAAAATAACTTTTTCAGCCCTCTGAGTAGTCCATATGCATAAAAGGATACAGCAATAGAGAGGGATGAAGGAAGGGAAGGGAAATTAGAGTAGGAGTGAGGGTAAGAGAGGGAGGAAGAGAGGAGGAGAGGGAGAAAGAAAGAGGAAGGAGGAAGGAGAAAAAGAGGGTGAGGAAGAGAAAGTAAGAAGGAAAGAAAAGAGAGAGGTGGTAGGTTTGAGGAGAAAGATTGCTATACAATAAAAAAGATGAAAGGGAAGAAAACCAACCACAAACAAATATAAAGATATTAAGATAAAGAATGAATTGTTAAACTTTAAAGAATAAAAGAGAACAAATATGAATGAATAGCAATAATTAGAAACACACATACAAACACACATAAAAACATACAATGTATTTTCTTTGAACAGAGTATTTGGCCGGTTCACAAATTTAACCAGTGTTTAGTCATTTCAATTAAATTTACAATTTCTATATTTTCTTTTTGCCATATTTATTCCTCATCTAGTTTTTAAAAAAACCAATATTACCCTTCATCCTCATCTCTAATTTTAAGCAAATTCAATTTTTCACTTCTATTCTATATTATACCCCTTCCCATTGTCATCTATTTTTATATCCATCCTCACATTGGTTAATTATGTAATTATGCTGTTGGAAGAAATATCCTTCTGGTTCTGCTCCAAGTGGGGAAAAAGACACTGGAAACATGGAGACTGCTTGGAAAGATGGTTTAATGGTGAACAGGATCACATGGCTTGAGTTCCTGAACAGAAAAGGGCAGATACAGCGAGTTTTTCGGGTTTTATGCTCTCTCTGTCTTTGAACTTCCTGGGGCCCAGAAAGAGTATCCTGATTAGTTGTCAGACTCCCAGGGGGGTGGGGGTCTTAGCTAGCCTTGCTGGCTGATGTAATCTTCCCAGGTGCCATGTGGTGAGTTTCTGTCTAGATGGGTCCCATTGTGTTAGTTTCTGTTGCTTTTGTGTTGCAAATGTCCTTTGACAAAGGACATTTCTGCCTCTGGCCCATTAACAAAGGGTGGGGGGCAGGAAGGTGGGAGCTGCTGTGTCTGTAAAACATGCTTCTCCATTTTCATACAGGGAAACATAATATTCTGCCTTTTTTAATATTTCCTAAAATATTTCATTCCTCTAGAAAAGGGGTGGGTGCTAACTTCCTACAATGTAATACAGTTGTTTAATACAAATTCAACATTTTAATATAAATCAATTAGTTATATAACTATCTTTTTTGTATATCAATCAATATGAACATGAATATTCCAATTATTTCCACGCAATCCAATTTCTTACAAATCAATTAATTATATTTACCAATAATAATAAACCAAATAATTTCCCCCATATATTCCTCCAAACCACAAGTTAACCATTTCTGCTTTCAACACAATATACAATTAATACTATCTCAATTATTACAATTCCCTAGTTAAATAGAGCTTTTTTTCTTTTGTGTTTTAAAATCTTGAACCTCCCCTTTTGCCCTAAATTTCCCATTGTTTGCAGTTTTGCACTTACCTTTTTTGGTGAGGAAAAAGAAAAAGAAATCTCTCTCTGCCTCATTTTGTCATGTTGCAGCAAAGACCCTGCTTTACTTTCAGTTTCGTTTTTTCAGCATAGCTAGGGGGAAAAAAATCTGCTCCTCTCTTTGCAGCTAGTAACAGAGCCCTCCGCAAAACAGCTGAAAGCAAATCAGCTGAGAGTCCGGAGGCTGATCAAATCAACTTATGGTAATTAACCTATGCTGAAGCTGAAAGGGGCTGTTTTTTTCTATTTTTGCAGGCACCGATCTTCTCATTTGTTTTCTTTTAACACTGATCAGCTGTAGGGCGGCCCTTTTAAGCCCCGCGGCAAGATTTTAAATGGTTTGTTTCCCTCTAGCCATCAGCTGGGACTCAGGAGGCAGCAATAGATTGGGAGTGGGCGGGGCGAACGGCGAACGGCGATCCAACAGAGGCAGAGGGTGAGGGTGAGTGAAGGCATGGGGGAGGGCGAGAGAGGGCTTTGGCGACCCCTGTGAAATGGCTGTTCGACCCCCAAAGGGGTCGCAATCCCCAGGTTGAGAACCGCTGCTCTAGGGGGTCTATATATATCTTGATTTTAATTGTAGATAAGGCCACCAATCTATATTTATTCCCTGTTCTTCCAATTTTTGCCTACTTTTTGGATTCCCCTAGTTGTCTAAAATTTCACTGTACTTTACCATTTTACTTAAATTCAATGTATTAGGATGGATCATTGCTTCCATAGTTGAAACCCAATTTGGATTTTCATGTAATGTTTTTTTCTTAATTTCATGCCATGTTTGCATTAGAGCTTCTTGTATTTTATGTTGAAAAAAGTTGGAATGAGATTTGTTCTCTCTGTCCCATAGGAAGGCATGCCATCCTTTTTTTAAGTCATGTCCTTCCAGTGAGAGTAATCTTTTATTTCTCAGGTTAATCCATTCTTTAATCCAAACTAGAGTTGCTGCCTGATAATAAAGTCACCAGTCTGGGAGCCCTAAGCCACCTCTGCTTCTACTTTCCTGAAGGTCAGATAATTTTATTCTTGCTTTTTTCTTCGCCCATATACATTTTGTTGTAATTTGATTCAGTTCTATAAAAAATTTCTTATCTAATTTTATGGGAATAGTTTGGAAAAAATATAACAATTTCAGAAGAATATTCATTTTAATTGTCGCAATCTGACCCAGTAAGGATATGTTTAATGCCCCCCATCTTTCCAAATTAATTTTAATTTGTTGCATAAGCTTTACATAGTTGTCTTCTTTGATTGAAGAACATCTCGCTGTCAGCCAAATTCCTAAGTATTTAACTTTTCTCACATAATGTAATCCTAATTTCCCCTCTAATTCTCTTTCCTGTTGTATTGTTAAATTTTTGACTATCATTTTTGTTTTTGTCTTATTAATTTTAAGGCCCGCTACTTTCCCATATTTTTCTATTTCCCATAATAATATTGGTCCTGTTTCCTTTGGGTTTTCCAAAAAAAATACCAAATATCTGCAAATGCCATTAATTTATATTCTTCCGTTCTAATTTTCATTCCCTTAATCTCTGGGTTTGCTCTAATTTTCATCAATAGCGATTCTAAAGTCAAAATAAAAAGCAGAGGTGACAGTGGGCATCCCTGGTGGATGTGACACTCTGGTTTGTAGGCACTAAGTATATTTTTTTTTACAAGAACGTGACTGTGGTTGTTGTTGTTGTTGTTTAAAAAAACTATCTATGAAAAACTAATTTAGGTCCATTAATGAAAAGGAAGCAAAATATGATAGAGAATTATAGTTCATTAATTCTTCAAATATATAATTTTCCACACTCCTGATCTTCCACTGATTTTTACACCCTAAAAGTCCTTCTAAATGGTATAAAAAGGAAAATCAATCATGTTGTTAGTTCATTTGTGACCACGGCAATGTACCAAAGTTCGATAGAAACATTAGGAAAAATGTTTTTCTCCACTAAGTGCTTCACCACTGTTAACAATTCTTTGTTGACAGAAACTGATCAACCACAAACCTACTGAAAACCAAGACGATGAGAGTTTCTCATTACACAGCCAATGCCGTCAAAATATGTGACATATATAACAACTGAAGATGATCATTCAGAGTACTAATAGGACATGATAAATTGACATGCTTGAAGATTTTAAATTGAGTATGCACATGTCTATGTATACTTACAAACACATTCAATTATTATGTGTGCCAATGGGTATTAAGAAGGCAGTCTAATTTAGTATGCTATGCTACTATATTGAGATGCAGATTTAGGCAGAAGCTTAATCCATATCTATTTTATCTAACTCTTTAAAAATCACTACTCTTTTGCCATCTTTTTCAGTTAAACCATATTCCCTATAAACAATGCATTTCTTCAAAATGTATATAAAAAGAAATGTTATTATTAAATAATATATACAAGTTTAGCTTTTAAATAATTTTATCTGAATACACAAGGGACTATACACAGAGACACATTCTTTATATTCATACACTCTAAATTGATTTTCCAATGTTAGCAAAAATCCTAATTTCACCTACATGCATGTGAATTGGCACTAAAAAGAGTTTGTTTTAGTGATAACATTTATAGAGTGTATGTCTGGGAAAAATATGTCCTATATTGCAAGTAAAAAGAAAATTAATAAAAAATATTTTCAGCCACTATGAAAATGCCTTGTACAAACCATACTTGGAATGTAGTATATAGTACTGATCACCAACCTTGAAAACAATAGTAAGCAAGAGTCTGGAACAGCTTTTCTGAGAGGAAACAGCATTACTTTTTAATTTAGAAAAATGTAGCAATTTTTTTAATAATCATACATGGACTTATTTTTTTATTCACTCATAATACTAGAACCTAGTATCTAATGAAGCTGAAAGACAAAACAGCAACAGCAAAAATAATTATGATCAAAAGGAAATTTTTTTTTCAAAACAGCAGAGTTAATTGTGGAATTCACTACCATGGAATGTTTATCATCTTTAAAAGGGGGATAGACAAATTTGTGGATAAAGATTTCATAGGTTATCCATTCTGTTGGGTATCTATTATAACCATTGCAACAGAAGGATGAAGAAAACAGACCTTTGGTCTCTTCTAGCAGAAACAAATCTCTTTTTATATTGTTACATTTATTTCCGTGACCCAATGGAGAGAGCATACTCCACTGTACAGGAGAACTTATGCTTTTTACCTGGCTTCAATAACATTAACATTGATTTTTTTAATACTCAAGTTTCTTTGTCTGTTTAAAATACAGATTTATTTATTTATTTTATTATATTTCTATACTGCCCTTCTCCTGCGGGACTCAGGGCGGTGTACAGCCAGGATAAAACATAGCATATAAAATTTAAAAACATTTTAAAAAACAATTAAATAATATTGGCCCGAATTTAAAACAACCCAATTAAAACCAAAATTCGATTAAAAACTAAGAGGATGGGATCAAGCCAGCCCAGCTAGATGGAACAAGTGTGTCTTCAGGGCCCAACAAAAAGTCCGGAGGTCTGATATCGTGCGTATCTCAGGGGGCAGGTCATTCCAGAGGGCAGGCGCTGCCACAGAGAAGGCTCTCCCCATGGGGGTTGCCAGCCGGCACTGCCTGGCCGACGGTACCCTGAGGAGGCCCTCTCTGTGTGAACGAACTGGTCGGTGGGAGGCTATCGGCGGCAGAAGGCGGTCTCGCAAATACCCCGGCCCTAAGCCATGGAGCGCTTTAAAGGTGGTCACCAACACCTTGAAGCGCACCTGGAAGACCACAGGAAGCCAGTGCAGCTCGCGCAGGAGAGGTGTTATATGTGAGCGCCCCGTCGCCCCCATAATCCCCTGCGCGGCCGCGTTCTGGACCAACTGCAGCCTCCAGGTGCATCCCAAGGGGAGCCCCATGTAGAGAGCATTGCAGTAGTCCAGGCGGGAAGTGATGAGTGCTTGAGATGAAATGCTGGGAGAAATAATTCATAGATATGGGTTAATTATCAGAAATATAAAGATATTTCCATTTTTATTTCTCTTCTTCATCTTTATTCATGTGGATGGGAAGATATCCTCAACTGATGCTCAATAGGAGAAGGACTACATGAGGTTCAGCCCCAAAAAAGATGAAATTACCCTTACTAGGTAGATTGTGTGTCCAAGTGAACAATGCTATCATACTTCTTCAACAGATCAGATAATCAGGAGTGTCAAAATGGTGTCCTGCAGGCCGGATACGTCATGTGAAGCCATACCAACCCCAGCTCCGCGAAGCGGGAAAATTTCATGATACATCATATGATGGCAATGTGATGCTGCAAGTTTGACACCCGTGAGATATGTAGTCCCAGGTTTTCTGGAACCATAACTTTCACTGGAAGGACAATGGAATCAGTAGCTACAATAACTTGTAAGTATAAGTAAAAATAAAAATCTGTAAAAGTCCAGTTTAGGCTTATATTATCTGCTAACTTCATGAGTGGATTATATTGTGAAGGCCCTTCAGATTTTTATTAATCTAATATGAAATTGTTAGATGACTCTCTGGATCTGTTCCATAAAATTGTATAATGTCAAGGCTTCTGTAGCTGAGTATACTGCCAATCTGGCACAATGCCAAGGGTTGTTACAAACTAATGGTGTGAACAAAATTGGAAAGATGCTTTGTTTTAAAGTCAGGAGAAAAATATCAGCTCTGCTTGAAACATTATTTTGAAATAGTTGAGTCTGTTATATTTCATTTCAATAAAACTACGGTAAATAAACTCTCAGTACTCATGAAGTTTCTGGAAGGGTTCCTTTTCAGCAATATCTAACAGTAGACACACTTACCATATTTTTCGGAGTATAAGACACACCGGAGTATAAGACGCACCTACCTTTTTTGTTTTGTTTTTTTATAAAAAGTTTTTTTTTTATTTTTTAGACAAACACACATACAAACATACAATGTATTTTCTTTGAACAGAGTATTTGGCTAAACACATTTAAACAGTGTTTAGTCGTTTTAATTAAATTTACAATTTCTATATTTCCTTTTTGCCATATTTATTCCTCATCTATTTTTTTAAAAAAAACCAATATTACCCTTCATCCTCATCTCTAATCTTAACCAAATTCAATTTTTCACTTCTATTCTATATTATACCCCTTCCCATTGTCATCTATTTTTATATCCATTCTCACATTGGTTAATTATGTAATATTACAATTGTTTAATACAAATTCAACATTTTAATATAAATCAATTCGTTATATAACTATCTTTTTTTGTATATTAATCAGTATGAACAAGAATATTCCAATTATTTCCATGCAATCCAATTTCTTACAAATCAATTAATTATATTTACCAATAATAATAAATCAAATAATTTTCCCCATATATTCCTCCAAACCACAACTTAACCATTTCTGCTTTCAACGCAACATACAATTAATAGTGTCTCAATTATTACAATTCCCTAGTTAAATAGAGCTTTCCCCTTATGTTACTCATTTTCACATCTTAAACTCTCCCAATAACCCAAATAGTTTTGCCCATATAATCCTCCAAATCACAACTTAATCATTTCTACTTTCATCACAACATATAATTAAAAATATTTCAATCGTTACAATTTCCCTAATTAAATTAAAAAATGTTCTAGCTGTTATCCAAGCTACAACTCAATCCCTTTTACTTTCACCACCATATACCATTAAAGGTATTTCAATTGTTACAGTTTATACTTATTCATATTTCTAAAAAAAAATAAAAAATACAGTCTAGATTTCAAAAATACAAAGACAAATATTCCAATTATTATTCATTTCATTTTTACAATCATGATTTCCCATTTATTTCTTACTACTATTCATATTTCAATTCTAAATATGTATAACATCTTTCTCTTTCATTTCTTTTTCTTCCTTCCCATTTTTATTTTTGCCTTTTTCTTTCTCCTTTTTTTCTTTTGTGTTTTAAAATCTTGAACTCTCCTCTTTTGCCCTAAATTTCCCAATGTTTGCACCTACCTTTTTTGGTGAGGAAAAAGAAGAAAAATAAATCTCCCTCTGCCTCTGCCTCTGCCTAATTTTGTGATGTTGCAGCAAACAGCAAACAGCCTGCTTTACTTTCATTTTCGTTTTCAGCATAGCTTGATTAGCACAAGGAAAAAAAAATCTGCTCCAGCAATTTACCTCTTTGCAGCAAAGAGCAGAGCCCTGCGTAAAACAGCTGAGAGCAAATCAGCTGAGAGTCGGGAGGCCAATCCAATGAACTTTTACTAATTAGGCTGTGCTGAAGCTGAAAGGAGCTGTTTTTTCTTGCTGTTTGCTTGCAAGGAGGTAACTGCTGCGAGGCACAGGCCAAAGGGTGGGGGCCAGTGGGTGGGCAGGGCTACATTCAGTGTATAAGACGCACCTAAATTTTCACCCCTTTTTAGGGGGAAAAAGGTACGTCTTATACTCTGAAAAACACGATATTTATTTACTGCCGAAAACTGTGGTCTCTCAAAGATTGATAATAAAAATGTGAATTGTAAATCCACCCTTCCTATGAAGTATAGACATATATGTCTTAGTCTAGTCATGGACTGACTAGAAAAAAAAGTATTAATTAAATTCATTTAGATAATTGGTTTCAACACTGAAACTAGTACTCTAAAATTTTTTCCTCCAATATATCTTCAGCAGCATTTGATTATAGAAAGCAAGTATTACAATTACAGGCTTCATTGATGTCAACAACATTGATGTCACTTGCCTTCAAGTGAGTGCCAATTAAGTTTGCTCATAGTTTAGCTGAGAATTTATATTCTTCCACTCTGTACAGGAGGGAGGGAGGGAGGGAGGGAGGGAGGGAGGGAGGGAGGGAGGGAAGGAAGGAAGGAAGGAAGGAAGGAAGGAAGGAAGGAAGGAAGGAAGGAAGGAAATGCAGTCAAACATTAAGAATATAGGTAGTCCTCAGCTTATGACCATTCATTTAACAATGGTTCAAAATTAACAGTCTCAGGAAAAGTGACTTACAACCAGCCGTCAAAGACATGACTATTGTATCACACATACCCCAGAGTCACATGATCACACCTTGAGCATTTGGCAACTGGTCTGCATTTACAAAGTTTGAAGTGACTTACAATCATATGATTGTGATTTGCAATCTTTCAGCCAATTTCCATCAAGCAAAGTCAATTACAAAGTTGTATTCATATAACAACTGCATTTAATGACTATGTGATTTGCTTAATAACTGGTAAAAATGGTAATAAAATTGGGTTTGTTCACATGATGACTGATTTAATGACTGTGTTGCTTAGCAATTGAAATTCCAGTCCCAGTTGTGGTTGTAAGTTGAGGACAACTATAGAACAGGAAGGACTTAACCTAATTGTTTTATACAAGCAAAATTATATCTTAGCAACCCTACCTGCAAATTGACTCATAGTTGCATTGACTGATTTTGCCCTTGTTATTAAGCTCCAACAGTTTACATTCCTGAAAGAAAATATTCATATCCAAGACTATCTGTAAATCAGGATTTAAGATTTAGGAATGAAATTAAAATCTTATGGATAACACTGTTGTTTAGTTTGTTGGATTTTATTTTTCTTTTCTGCGGGGAACTTAACCTTGAAAATTATACATTTTGAACATTTAGAAATTATACATATACAACTACCTCAACCTCATTTTCTGCAACAGCTTAAACTCAATTTATGGACTACAAATAAAAGAACCCTTTCCAACAGTAACCATAGCATGATTGACTTTTGTCTCAATATACGCCCTTACAAAAATCACCAAAATACCCAACTACAACTTCAAAAAAGTCAACTATGATCTCATAGACACCGACCTCTCATCTCTTGATTGGCAAATTCTATTCTCTGGCTGTAACACTACCGAAGTCCATTATAACATTTTCTTACTCAAAATCAATAGTTATTAAACTCTATGTATCACTAGTCAGCACCAAAACCAGGAAAAACAAATTACCCATATCAATAAGAAAGTTCCAATCAAAAAAAAAATTCCCTCTGGCAAAAAACCAAAACTGGCTATGTAGCTAACTTTAAAAACTGCTACAAAAATATATGTCACCAAATAAAGACTGAAAGCACCGATTACCACACCAAACAAAAAGAGAACCTCCTGTGCACGAAATCCAACCACGCATTCTATAATTTTGTAAACAACAAACTTAAAGACTCAAGATTCATCTCACCCTTAAAAGGACCTAATGGTAAAAAATACAATGATGAAGCAGTTAAAGCAAACCTCTTCAACACATTCTTCAGCTCAGTCCTTGTAAACAGCAATGGCTGATGCCCAACCTTCCCTAGTCATACCACAAATAACTACAACGATCTAATACAAACTGATTTCACAGAAGATAATGTTGAAAAGGCACTACACAGACTAAAACCATCTCTATCTATCGGACCTGATGGACTATGTGCATATTTCTTTAAAAAAGTTTTCCACTGCTGTAGCAGAACGCCTAAGCATAATCTTTGAAAAATCTTTCAGGACCACCTCCTTGCCCAACCAATGGTCACTAGCCACAGTCATCCCTATCTTCAAAAAAGGAGACCCCAGCCTAGTTGAAAATTACAGACCAATCTCTTTATGTTGCGTTACCTGCAAAGTCATGGAATCAATCATTAACCATTCCATTACCCTCCACCTAGAAACACACAACCCATTCTTTAATAAACAATTTGGTTTCAGAAAAAAATTATCCTGTAATCTACAACTTCTATACTGCAAAAACATTTGGACTACAAATCTCGATCAGGGCAAAGCAATAGATACAATTTACATAGACTTCTGTAAAGCCTTTGATTCAGTGGTACATGACAAACTACTAAAACTAAAATCCTATGGATCCCCAAACTCCTACATAATTGGATAGCTGCATTCCTGTCAAACAGACAACAAGTAGTCAAAATAGGGAACGCCCTATCAAATCCTGCACCTGTTAATAGTGGTGTCCCCCAAGGCCTTGGCAGTACAGTGGTCTAAAGCACCCTGTTATTAAGAACAGCTGCCTGCAATTACTGGTTCGAATTTCACCAAGGCTCAAGGTTGACTCAGCCTTCCATCCTTTCTAAGGTAGGTAAATTGAGGACCCAGTTGTGGGGGCAATAAGCTGACTTTGTATAAATATACAAAAGAATGAAGGCTATTGCTGAGCACATTGTAAGCCGCCCTGAGTCTCCGGAGAAGGGCGGCATATAAATCAAATTAAAAAAAAAAAAGGCAGCGTTCTAGAACCAATACTCTTCATACTATACATAAATGACCTTTGCAATCATATTATAAGCAAATGCGTTCCCTTCGCCGATGATGTAAAAATATTTAGCACCACTGACAATGCTGCTACCCTTCAAAAGACCTTGACTTTGTGTTGAAATGGTCAAACAATTGGCAACTCCAAATCTCAACCAAAAAATGCTCTGTCTTACACATTGGCAAAAAGAACCAGAACACAAAATACAAGCTGAGTGGACACGACCTTGTAGATGACCCTCACTCTGTCAAGGACCTTGGAGTATTCATACCTAATAATCTAAGTGCCAAAGCCCACTGTAACAACATCGCCAAAAAGGCATTAGGAGTTGTAAACCTAAACTTGCGTAGCTTCTTCTCTGGTAATATCACACTACTAACCAGAGCATACAAAACATTTGCTAGACCAATTCTCTAATAAAGCTCATCTGTCTGGAACCTGCACTACATATCAGGCATTAATACAATCGAACGTGTCTAGAAATAGAGTCCTCCACTCCTCTGCTCGTAACCAAATGCCTTATGCTACCAGACTTGAAATTCTGAGCTTAGAAAACTTAGAACTATGCCGCCTTCAGTATGACCTAAGCATAGCTCATAAAATTATCTGCTACAATGTCCTACCTGTCAATGACTACTTCAGCTTCAACCACAACAATACACGAGCACACAATAGATACAAACTTAAAGTGAACCGCTCCAAACTTGATTGCAGAAAATATGACTTCAGCAACAGAGTGGTCAATGCCTGGAATGCACTACCCAACTCTCCCAAAACCCAGTGGTGGGATTCTGCCAGTTTTAGGCGGTTCGGCCGAACGGTTTGTTAAATTGCTGGCTTGCCCCGCCCCTTGCCCCGCCCCTCCACACCACTATTTATTGCCAATAAATAGTGGTGGGTGAGAGGCAGGAGAGCCAGCAATTTAACGAACGGTTCGGTGTTTTTTTGTAATTTTATTGGCCCCCGGAGCTTCAGCATAGGCTAATTAGCCTGATTAGATTGGCCTCCCGACTCTCAGCTGATTTCGTCTCAGCTGTTTTGCTCAGGGCTCTGCTGCTTGCTTGCTTGCTGGAGCAGATTTTTTCCCCCTAGCTATGCTGAAAAATGAAACTGAAAGTAAAGCAGGCTGTTGGCTTTGCTGTTGCTGCAACGTTGGAAAATTAGGCAGGCAGATTTCTTTTCTTTTTCCTCACCAAAAAAGGTAGGTGCAAACTACCTTTAGTGAAAAGGTAGTTCTTTAGGGAAAAAGAGGAGAGTTCAAGATTTTAAAACACAAAAGAAAAAAGCTCTATTTAACTAGGGAATTGTAATAATTGAGATACTATTAATTGTATATTGTGTTGAAAGAGAAAATGGTTAAGTTGCGGTTTGGAGGAATATATGGGGAAAATTATTTGGTTTATTATTATTGGTAAATATAATTAATTGATTTGTAAGAAATTGGATTGCATGGAAATAATTGGAATATTCATGTTCAGATTGATTAATATACAAAAAAGATAGTTATATAACTAATTGATTTATATTAAAATGTTGAATTTATATTAAACAACTGTAATATTACATAATTAACCAATGTGAGGATGGATATAAAAATAGATGACAATGGGAAGGGGTATAATATAGAATAAAAGTGAAAAATTGAATTTGATTAAGATTAGAGATGAGGATGAAGGGTAATATTGGGTTTTTTTAAAAAAATAGATAAGGAATAAATATGGCAAAAAGGAAATACAGAAATTGTAAATTTAATTGAAATAACTAAACACTGTTTAAATTTGTGAACCGGCCAAATACTCTGTTCAAAGAAAATAAATTGTATGTTTGTATGTGTGTTTCTAATTATTGCTATTTATTCATATTTGTTCTCTTTTATTCTTTAAAGTTTAACAATTCATTCTTTATCTTAATATCTTTATATGTTGTGGCTCCGACCCCTGAGCCCATTTTATCGGAAGAAGAAGGTTCTGAACATGAAGGAGAGGAGCCGGCCAGGCCTCCCTCTCCAGGCCCCTCCTCTCTGGCAATGCCTCAGGTGTCTGCTGAGGGAGAGGAGATTGGCCAGGAGCCAGGTGTCTCCGATGACAGCGATGACGGTGATAAGTCGTTCCTGGATCCACGCCAACGAAGGCGAGATAAATGTTTGCAGCAGATGAGGAGGCGTGCCAGGGATTAAGCTGAGTCACTGGACCACAACCCACAGGCTATATAAGAGAGTGTGGTGGCCATTTAGACTCTGTGACGGACAAAGCTAACTTCTGGCTAGTCACTTTGTACAACGCCTAATCTGCTGAAGGTTTCTGTTTGAGCTGGACTGTTTTTGCAAACTGTATTTGTTAGTGATTATCTGGTGGAGGAACACTCCCTCTTCTTGAAATAAAGCACTTGGCAAACGGTTATCGTATTGCTGCCAAGTTCCTGATAACGAACCTTGTGTGTGCCAAGTAATTCTTTAACCCCCGGCTGGCTGTTTGTGTGTGTGTGGGGACGGGGACAGAACATTATATTTGTTTGGGGTTGCCTTTCTTCCATTTCATCTTTTTTACTGTACAGCAATCTTTCTCCTCAAACCTACCACCTCTCTCTTTTCTTTCCTTCTTACTTTCTTTCCCCTCCCCGCTTCTTCTCCTCCCTACTTCCTCTTCCTTTCTCCTTCTCCTCCTCTCTTCCTCCCTCTCTTACCCTCACTCCTACTCTAATTTCCCTTCCCTTCCTCCCTCCCTTCTCTTCCTTCCCTCTCTCTCCTTCCTTCTTCCATCTCTCTTCTCCTTCCTTCATCCCTCTCTATTGCTGTACCCTTTTGTGCATATGGATTACTCAGAGGGCTGAAAAAGTTGTTTTTGACTGGTCCTCGCACTTTTGACCACTCTTCGAACTTACGACTGTCCTCACATTTTACGTTTTGCGCCCTATCTTGTCACCATGGTGAAGACAAGTAGTGGTGAAATGACTGACACGGTTGTTAAGAATGCCGAAATGGGCATAAATGTGAGGAAGATCATAAGTGCGAGGACCGGTCAAAAATGTGAGGACCTGTCAGAAATGACTTTTTTCAGCCCTCTGAATAGTCCCTATGTGCATATGGATTAGTCAGAAGGCTGAAAAAGTTATTTTTGACCGGTCCTCGCACTTTTGACCAGTCCTCGAACTTATGACTGTCCTCACATTTTACGTTTTGCGCCCTATCTTGTCACCATGGTGAAGAGAAGTAGTGGTGAAATGACTGACACGGTTATTAAGAATGCTGCAACGGGCATAAATGGATGGTCATAAGTGTGAGGACCAGTCAGAAATGACTTTTTTCAACCCTCTGAGTACTCCCTATACACATAGCCACGCCCACCCAGTCACATGACCAGTTAGCCATGCCCACACAGTCACATGACCACCAAGCCACACCCCCAACTAAGCTACGCCCACAGAACCGGTTGTTAAAAAAATTGAATCCCACCACTACCAAAACCCCCAAAATTTTAACCTAAGACTGTCTACTGTTGACCTCACCCCATTCCTAAGAGGCCTGTAAGGGGCGTGCATAAGAGCACCAATGTGTCTACCGTCCCTGTCCTAATGTTTCCTCTATTTGTATCTATTTTATGCATTCAATTCATGCTTATACTTATATATAGTACCTAATACGTTCTTGACAAATAAAAAAAAAAATCTAATGTACCCATATAATACTTTCCCTTTGGAGTAAGAAGCATTATGTAAAGTGCAGAAAAGCAAAACAAATAATAAATGAAAATAATTAAGACATGAGATATGCAAAACAAACAAAAATCCAGATAAATCTAATGTATACTAATACAATATACTACACCTCTTCATACTGTATCTTTTTTCCCTTTCCCTTTTTGCTTTCACCATGTTCTCTAATTTTTTCACCTTTCTCTTTTTTGGGAAACTCATCAACTCCATCGGCCAGTTTTCTCTCAGTCTTCATCTTCCTATGGCCTTATTCACTCTTTCTTCCTTCCTATTGAAAGCAAATATCCTACACAAACTAGGAAGCACATAGAAATCCAATTATCCAAGGATGCTGGGTTTGGGGGGAGGGGGTTGGTTAAACCATCCCCCATATATGCTTAGGTATACTTTATTCTAAATATAGGCACTGCTGTTTCCTTTAAAATGAGAAAGGAGGAATGAAAGAGGGACATGTAAGAATGTTAATGACATTATTCGTTGTATTTTCTTTAACTATATAATGGACTATAACTCATAAGTGAAAGTGCTTGGAGTGAATTATGAGGTCATTCTTTATGCTTTTCCTAGTGGGACAAAATTATATTATAATATATTGCTCAACTACTGCTAAAATTCATGTTTTATTTATTCCACATTGTATATTTAATAACTAAGAGCTACTAGTAGTCAACCCAAATATACCAGCAGCACATAGAAAAAACTGCCATGAGATATAACCAAGATCGTCCTCTTCCTATCTTTGCAGAAGAACAGACTTTCCTGTTCCAGAGGATTTGGGCCATTAAATTAGATGCAGGGATGATAGGAAGGGATAAAAAGAAAGATACTGTGACCAAGGCACTTATGCTCTTAATGGAAATTGGATTTTCGTATTCAGACCTAGCATTGTCCTTCTCAATATCAAAGAAAACCCTCTCCAAAGCTCATAAATACTAGTAGAGATTTTCAGAATAGGAATACTTATTTTTAGGAGAAGAAAGTATCCCCCCACTGCTATACGATGGGAAGGTCTCTTTCATGGAATGACAAAAATAGAAAAAGCAGTGAAAATGAAAGAATTTAGAACAGAAATAGCAAACAGCTGCAATCATATGTTGCAAGACATAATATTTACTTACTTACTTACTTACTTACTTACTTACTTACTTACTTACCTACCTACCTACCTACCTACCTACCTACCTACCTACCTACCTACGTCAACCAATTCAAAACAACTGTGGGTAGATTACAACACATTTAAAGTAAGGTTTAAAACAAACAAGTAACCAAGGACAATCACTCAAGTCCATAGGACACCTGTTAAAAGCTTATTTCAGAACTAAACTCACTCACACCCAATGTTCATGAGAACTTCCAGAACTGCCTTTCAAAAGTCAACAGGACTAGGGTCATCCAAATTTCGGAGAGTAAGCAATTGCACAGGGTGGGCACCAGAATAAAGAAAACAGAGAGTATCTAAAGAATAGCTATGCTTCTGAATGTTGCTTAAACTTTTCTATCTTGCCTAAGCAGCGTCTCTCTCTTCTTTCCTTGTCTTTTCTCTATCAATCAGAATAGAGCTGGAAGAGACGCTGGAGGTCTTCTAGTACAACCACCTGCTCAAACAAGATACCCTTAGACAATTTTTTATTTAAAAAAACCTCCAGTGGCACTGACAACTTCTGAAGGCAAGTTATTAATTGTCCTCACTGTTAGGAAGTTTCTCCTTAATTCCAGGCTGCTTCTCTCCTTGAATAGTTTCCATTCATTGTTTCTTGTCTTGCCTTCTGGTGTTTTGGAAAATAAATTGACCCCCTCATCTTTGTGGCAGCCCCTCAAATACTGGAATACTGCTATCATGTCACCCCCTAGTCCTTTTTTTCTCTAGAACGGCCATACCCAATTCCTGTAATTGTTCTTCATATGTTTTTGTCTTAATCATCTTAGTTGCTCTTCTTTGCACTTTCACAAAGTCTCAACATCTTATTTGTAATGTGGTGACCAAAACTGGATGCAGTATGCCAGGTGTGGTCTTACTAAGGATTTATAAAGTGGTACTAATACTTCATGTGATTTTTGATTCTATGCCTCTGTTTACCCAACCAAGATTGTATTAGCTTTTTTGGCTGCTGCCACATACTGCTTTTTTGTTAGAATCAAAATGTACTTGTTTCACCTTTTTTGTTCTTTCCATTTCCATTTCTTCTTTCCTGTCTCTCAAAGAAGGAGGGAAAGGACTATATCGGCAGTAGCAATTCAATCATTTTATTTTTCCAGAGTAGTACAATATATTCCAGCAAGACTGAAGTTATATTCAGGCTCATGCACAATTACTCTTTGGTGCTCAGCTGGGATCTTACTCCTCTTTTATTATTCTGGAAAAGATGCAATCCAAGTTCCAAAGAGCCATATTTCAGGTGTTCATTGTGTCCCAAATGTAGTACTAATAAGGGGAGAGGCAGGACTAGCCAAAATCGAAACAGGTACATCGATTTACCTTTTTGCACATTGGCTAAAACTATTCTTTTTTTCCTACAGGTTTGATTTCTCTTTTTAAAGAAGATAATTTCGAATCAGTATGGTTCAGGACCATTTCACAAAAACTCCAATATCTTGGTTTCTAAATGGAAGTGCTTTTAATTATAGGGTATGTGTGTGCATTTAGTATATTTAAACAACATATTAAAGATCTAGAAATCTAACAAAATTGGGCTGCTCTTCCCAATAATGCTTACTTGAGCAGTCAAACTCCCCTTTAAAGCCGTGAGATATTTATATCAAATAATGGTCTCCAAAATCCAAAGGGCATTAGCCTTAGTGTGCTGCAACACACTTCCCAAGGGCATTTTGGAGGCCTGATATAAAAAATACCATATGCGCTGAGACTAACCCTGTGGACCAGGGGCCATTGAAACTGTTGCTTGTGTCCTATTGCTATACTGCATCTTCTATAAAGACTCATGGGCTCCACTTAAGATGGGAAAGCTAAGCGTCAATAGCCTGGAGCAGCAGGTGACTGCAGGAGGGTCGTCTTTGCACAGTGTCAACAGCAGCAGACAGAAGCAGAGGTGTGGAAGGAGGCAGATGATCCAGATGTACTACGCAGGCTGTGGGAAAACAGAGTGTCAGTGGGCTGGAGCGGCAGGCGACCATGGGAGGCTGATCATCGCATCTCTTGGCTTGCCTGCAGTTTGCACGGCATGTCAGAATTGCCTGCCTTCCTCTCTGCATGTTGACATCATCTGCCTTCTGCTCCGTGCCTTCTGCTCTGCATAGCCCCTGAGTGTGCCAGCCGAGGGACCAGAACTCTGTACATGCTACTGTACTGTACTGGATACCATCAGTCCCCATGCACTTGCCAGCTCTTGTGTGTGCACTGGGGGGTGGGGTGTCCAACCAGGCTGATCACCCTAAAATTGCATTTTCCCAAAAATAAGCCCTAGTGCTTATTTTGTGGCCCAAAGGAAAATAATACTGGGTCTTATTTCTGGGGAAACACAGTGTGTGTGTGTGTGTGTGTGTGTGTATGTGTGTGTGTGTGTGTGTGTGTGTGTGTTTTAATTTGATTTATATGCCGCCCTTCTCCAGAGACTCAGGGTGGCTTATAATGCATTAAGCAATAGCCTTCATACTTTTGTATATTTATACAAAGTCAGCTTATTGCCCCCACAAACTGGGTCCTCATTTAACCCACCTTAGAAAGGATGGAAGGCTGAGTCAACCTTGAGCCTGATAAGATTCGAACCTGCAGTAATTGTAGGCAGCTGTATTAATAACAGGGTGCTTTAAACCACTGTACTACCAAGGCTCCTATGTATCTTCTCTGCCCTCTTCAATTTTTTCCATTGCCAAAACTTTTCTACTATGTATATTAAGTTGACAGGAAAATTCAGTGACTCTTTTGCAAAATATTTTAAATTACTTTTTAAAAAGTGCACCACAATGCATTTTCTTATGGTATATAGGAGTTTCTGAAATTGACCCAGGCTACTTTATTTAATCCTGATTCATCCCTACATAGTGAAAAGCACAAACTTTAATGGTATCCTGCTTTCTCTCAGATGTCTTTAAAAAGGCATGCATTCACCCAGACTTCTGGTTTGGCGTCATGGGGATGCAGTCAGGGAAATAGTGGGGCTTTGAAGAGCCCTGCAAAAACCCCGACTGGCAAATTGCCACTGACAGGTCTGCAGACCTACCCTGTCCTCAAGGGACAGGGGAGAAAGAGGAACCCCTTGGGCGGCTGAGAGGAACGGGCAAGTTCCTTGGAGCCCGGAGGCAACCCTCTAAGTCAGCGGCGGGGGATGGCAGCCATGGCGGCTGCCATGAGACTGCGACAAATCGGGACAAGCAATGCACAGGAGGAAGGAAGAAAGGACAATGTGCTTTGGATACGGTTGAGTGACACCAACCTAGGTGAGAAACAACGTGTGAATAAGGATATTTACAAATAAGACCCCCAGCCTTAGCTAGCAGCTGAAGATCTGAGGGTCTTGAAGATCTTGTAAAATAAGGAAAGGAGTTAAAGACCCTTTAAGAATCTTACTTTAACACTGATTGATTGGAATGAATTGCTTATTAACCAAATAGAGCTGGATATTTGAATTTTCTTGTTAAAACTGAAATGGATTTGACTTTTGGAAAAGAGAAAAGCGATAATTAAGGATTTGTCACCTTTAAAAGCCAGACAAAGAGATTAAATGGATTGCTACATAAATGTTTCAAAATCGCGATTGAAGCTGTGACTAAGTGAAAGTGTTAATTGTGGAAACTTGTTTTTTCCTGAAAAGAACCTATTTGACTCGTTACATATTGTGGATTACTTTGAAAAGAACTATGGTTGTTTGAACTTTGGAGATTCCTATTCTGTCTTCTAATGGCTTTATAAAGAAAGAAGAAACACAATGACTAAATAAACTTTTAACTAACTGGTGCAGCAACAAAAGGTTTGGTGCAGGAACGGAAGTGGAGAAGCTGATGGATTTTACTGGAAACAGATTTTATAATAGAATTAAAAAGGATATGCAGAGTTCTAAGTGTGGAAGTATTGACTTTGAATTGAAATGCTTATGGACAGATAAGGAAATGCAGAAGCAAAATAGATCAATCAGATAGCAATGTTTGAACGTTTAATTGTTTAAATGGTTCAAAGTTTAAGTGAGCTTTAAATAAAAACAAGAAGTGCTTATGGTAAAATAAAGATAGAAAATTAAAAATAAAAGATAATTAAAATAGAAGTAGGAAGTTAAGGTGACTAAAAGTGATATTTTCATAAAAGCATAATTTGATGTAACATGTTTTAGTTTTAATTTGATAACAAAGTGGTGGATGATAATTATGATTAATTGTTAATGATTATAGATGATATACTAAGGTACACAGAGGGAAGTCATAATTGAGATTGAATTTAACATATGTTGAAAATTATTAATATCAAGAAATAGATGGGGATACACCCAAGAAGAGTATAGTTGGAAACAGTGGATTAATAGACAACATATTGAAAAAGAAATTTTTAAAATAAGTTAGTAGACTAGTAATTGGAATTAAGGTGGAGAATAAGCTGAAAATTCAGCCAAAATAAGATAATGCTGGAAATCAGCCAAATAATAGGTGGAGTTATGGAGGAGAATGCTGTTAATCAGCCAAAACAGAGCATGCTGGAAATCAGCCAAAACAATGGAAAATGCTGGAAATCAGCCAAATAAATAATTGGAGTTGTGGAGGAGAATATGCTGAAAACTCAGCTAAAATAAGTAATGCTGGAAATCAGCCAAATAATAGGTGGAGCTATGGAGGAGAATGCTGGAAATCAGGCAAAATAAAGCATACTGGAAATCAGCCAAAATAAGAGAAAATGCTGGAAATCAGCCAAACAATAGTTGGAGTGATGGAGGAGAATATGCTGAAAACTCAGCCAAAATATGTTATGCTGGAAATCAGCCAAACAATAGAGGGAGTGATGGAGGAGAATGAGGAGAATACATTAAAGAATAATTATTAATAAGGGGTGAAAAAGAAAATGTTGGGCTATAATTAAAATGAAATGGAAAATTCTGAGATGTCTGTGTAAAAGTTTAAGATCAAGATAGGATGAATTGGGTCTAGAAAATGAGAAAAATAGAAAGAAATTTTGATTAATAGATTGAAATAAAAATTGAGTTGTATACATTTGGAAATTAAGATTTGTGGTGATAAAATTGTAAGGTAAATATATAGATTAATAGATTAGATTGTTTTTTGTGTTTAATGTTGATGTTAAAAGGAGCAATGGAAAAAAATTTAGACAGAGCAGTATTGAATTTTGATTTATAATTGAATTTATAATTGAATATAAAAATGAGCTTTGCTTTAGTAGGAGATTAAGATATATGATGAGATAATAGAAAGATTTAAATTAAGATGCTGGAATTTAGGTTAAAATTATTTGTTTTTATTTGTTAAAATAGTATACCCACTTGTGACCGGACCAAGACTTTGTTCTTGAGAAAATTTTTCTTTTTTATGTTTATGTTGGAAAAAATAAAAAAAATTACAAAAAAAAGGCATGCATTCACCCTGAATACTGATTAAAAGTGGAAAAAACATTGATTAATGGAAATAAGCTAAGATACCCTGAGAATGTAAAAGTTCCTAGGCTTTAACATAGTAGAATTTGCAATACTTTTGTCCTACTATCACAGCACCATTGAGTGTCCTGACATACGGCATTCTTGCATGGTATGGGAGCAGCTCTGTAGTGGACAAAAAAGCTCTACAAAGAATCATTAAAACTGCCCAGAATATCATCGGGCTCCAGCTACCAGCCCTGGACAACATCTTCAAATCTCGCTGTTTGAGGAAGTTGCATAACATTCTCAGAGACTCTTCCCATCCTACTTACAATCTTTTTGGACTGTTGCCTTCTGGCAGAAGATACAGAACAATTAAAACTCGGGCCACATGTTTTCTGAACAGTTTTTATCCCGAAGCTATAATTCATTAAACAATTAACTTAAGGGCCACCATCAGTGAGCTGTTGGACAGTATTACTTGGTCTGTTGTGTGGATAATATAACTAAGGATCTGGAATATGAGAATATTTGCATCATAGGAGATTTTAACACAATCATGGACACTGAAAAAGATTATCAGAGCAATAAAAAGAACAAAACCAGGAAAAAAACATTACCGGATACATTTAAAGACATGGCAGACGAACTACAATTACATGATGTTTGGAGAGAGGCGAATAAACAAGCAAAACAATATACATTCTATTCTGGCCCACACCAATCATGGTCCAGAATAGATATGGCCTGGACGACCTCAGAACTTAGAAAAGAAATAAAAGTCATAGAAATATCACCAAATAACTGGGCAGACCAAAGCCCAATAACAATAATATGGAAAGGATATCGGAAACAAAAAAGGTGGATGATGGACACTGGAATGATTAAGGACAAGGAATACGTACAGATGATTGAGAAAGAAATGAATATGTTTTTTCAGATAAATACCAAAGAACAGACAACACTCCAAAACCTCTGGGATACAGCCAAAGGCTACATAAGTGGCCTTACCATTTCATATACAGCAAAGAAAAACAAGGATAAACAACAGACAAGAAACAATCTATTAACAGAACTCAGAACACATGAATTAGAA